GAGTTTCTCTCCTGCAACTCCAACCCCATGGTTCTGCTCGGCATTGCTCTAGCAACGGCTGTATACGGTGACTCTGCCCCTGCAACAGATCTCTTCCTGGGCCCCCAGAATTTCCATACATCCTTTGAAATCAGGGTGGAAGCTCCCAAGCCTCCACAGTTCTGGCATTCTGCGAGCCTGTTGACCTAATACCATGTGGATGTTGCCAAGTCTTCTGACTGTGTTTTCCAAAGCTGCACGTCCAGCCACACCTGGGGCCAATTTAGCCACAGCTGGAGTAGCCAAAGTAGCTGGGGTGCTGGTGCTAGAAGTGGTTTCCTGAGGTGGTCCTGAGCAGTGAGCCTGTGGAGAGTGCCTCAGGCCTGTTCCCCAAGACCATTTTGTCTCCCTAGGTCTTTGGGCCTAAAATGGAAGGGTTGACCTCAGAGCCTTCTACAATGCCTTCAGGGCCCTTTCCCCCTTCTTTTAATAATCCTTTTCCTTTGTACTAGTCTTCTTAGCTAATGGTTGCTGGGCTGCACCATTGCCTTCTCTCTACTTCTCTATCACATGGCCAGGCTGCAAATTTTCTAAATTTTTACACTCTTTTCCTTTTAAATTCTGGCTTTACATCATACCTTTTCTGCCATAACTCAGCACAGGCTATTGCAAGTAGCCATGCAGCTTCCTGAATGCTTTGCTGCTTAGAAATTTCTCCTGCCAAATACTCTGGTTCACAATTCTTAAGTTCCAACTTCCACAAAGTCCTACGACATGGACACAATGCAGCCAAGTTCCTTGCCAGTTTATATAGCAAATGTGATCTTTGCCTCAGTTTCGTATAAATTCCTTCTTATTTCTATCTGAGACCTCCTTAGAATGGTCTTTATAGTCCATATTTCTATCAGCATTCTGCTCACCACCATGTAACCCATCTCTAAGACATTCCAAACTTTCCTTTGTCTTTTTGTCTTCTTGAGTCCTCCAAACTCCTCCAACCTTTGCCCATTATCCAGTTCCAAAGCTGCTTCCACATTATCAGGTATCTGTATAGCAGCCCCACACTCCTTGGTACCAATTTTCTGTATTAGTCTGGGTTCTCCAGAGAGACAGAATCAATAGGATATGTTATAAATATACGAGAGGGAATTTATTAGGGGAATTAGCTCATGTGCTTGTGAAGAAAAATCCCACGATAGGCTGTCTGTAAACTGGATGCCTGTAGCATGGCTCAGTTCAAGTCTGAAGGCTTCAAAACTAGGGAAGCTGATTATGTCCTTGGTGTAAGTCCTTGAACCCAAAAGCTGAAGAGTCTCAAGCTCTGATGTCCACGGACAGGTGAGAAGAGTGTATCCCAGCCCCAGTGAACCGGTCTGCATGTGGGATCCGAACCCTCGGCAGGAGCGCTGCCGCGCTTCCCAAGCGGCGCACTATCCAGTGCACCACCGGGCCGGCCCGAGCTTTGCCTTTTTTCTCTGTCTTTTGTTCTTTCTGGGCGCCAAGTGGATTGGATGGTTCTAGCCCACATTGAGGGTGGGTCTTTCCCACCCAGTGCACTCAGGCTCTCAAACTAATCTCTGCTGGAAACACCTTCATGGACACACCTAAAAAGATAGCTTTGCCAGGCTTCTCGGCATTCCTTAATCTAATCAAGTTGACACCTAGAAGTAACCTTCACAGCCTGGTACCTAGATATTTGGTCAAACACCAGTTTAGATGTTGCTGTGAAGGTATTTTTTAAAAGATGAGATTTAATGCATATTACCAAATGACTAGAAGAGAGATCAGATGTGCACATCTCAAAGAAATGATCAAGTTTTGTGATGATGAATATGCTAATTACCCTGAATAGATCATCACACATTGTACACAGGTATTGAAATATGCCACCGTACCCCATAAATATGTACAATCAATATGATTCAATAAAGAAATTTTTAAACTGTCTTTATCAGTTTGAAAAAAAGAGAGTTTAACATTTAAATCGTCAGGCTTTGAGTAAAGCAGTTCACCCTTCATAATGTGGGTGTCCTCGTCCAATCAGTTGAAGGCCTTAAGAGAAAAAAGAATGAAGTCCCTTGAGAAAGACGAGGGACTTTGGGGCTGGCCAGTTAGTGTTCAATCTCTGTACTGGCCAGCCACCACCAAGAGAAAAGGGTGAGCTCAGGGATTTGAATTCCTAGCTCATGTCCTACATAAATGACCTGAAAATTTCAATGTCTGCCCTGAAAGAAACTTATCTTCTGTAGCTGGAAAGTTGAGGTTTCTGAAAACCAACCCCCAAATCCTGCTAGTGGCTGAATTACAATGAAAATTGATTTTCCAACCCTGCAGGGTATCTACTGTTAAAGTGAGGACATTGACTGGGAATGAATGGGATCCTGAAAATTGGAATGGGGACATATGGGAATATATTGATGAAGCTGGGGACGTTGAACCCCTCAATTGTGATGGATCTTTATTGCTAGTAGAGCAGCTGTTTCACTTCTCCTAAGGAGAGTAAATATGTTTTGCCTACGGATACCAATGTCCTTCCCTGGGGCAAAAAAAAAAAAGAAAATTCCTTCCCTTGTTACCACATGGACTTCAAAACAGTCATTTAAAATTCTTGTAAAATATTTTATTGATAAATTATGATTTACATTAGTATTTATTATTTAGACATTTAAGTTTGTTTTAAACTGTTTATCACAAACATCGACAATTATGAATGCCTTTGTTTTTATAGCTTTTTGCCTTTTGTCCTATTTCCTTAAAATTTATTCCCAAAAGAATACCACATTAAAAAAGTTTTAAATTTATATTAGGATTGGTATTACACCCTGTAATATCTAATTTGTGAAAGAAAGAAAAAATCAGTTATTACAATGGGATAGGGGGAGGGAGAGAGTAAGTGGGAGTATAGAAGAAACAAAACTGATTAATTTCGAGTTGATAGTTACAGAAGCTAGGTAAATGAGCACTTGCGGGGTTTATTTTTACTATTCTAATTGAATATATCTAAAAAGTTATATAATAAAAAGTTAAAAAAAGAAGGCGGGAAATAAATCTCACTAAAATTCAGGGGCCTCTACATCGGTGAAATATTTAGGGATCCAGTGGTGTGAGGCATGTCAAGATAACCCTTCTAAGGCGAAGGATAAATTGTTGCATATGGCCCCTCCTACAACCAAGAAAAAGGCACAACACCCAGTGAGCTTCTTTGGATTTTGGAGGCAAAAAAATCATTATGATAACCATGCTCACCTTGCCTTTGGTAATTAAGTCTCATCACCTGCCACCCCAGGTCCAGTGACCTCCACTAAATTTAGGTTTCATTTGGTTTCATTTGGGTATGCTAGTCCAGCTTATTTACTAAGTGATCTGAAAAGCTGCTAGTTTTGAGTAGGGTCCAGAATAAAAGAAGGCTCTGCCACAGGTTCAGGCAAGCTGCTCTGCTACTTGGGTCATATGTTCCAGCAGATCCAATGGTGCTTGTAGCACCAGCGGAAGATAGAGTTGCTGGTTAGAGTCTTTGGCACACCCCTATAGGTAAACCATAGCACAGGCCCTTAGAATTTTAGGGCAGAGCCCTGCCACCCTCTGTGGATAACTACTCTTCTCTTGAGAAACAGCTTTTGGCTTGCTACTGGGCCTTAGTAGAGACTGAACACTTAACCATGGGTTACACAAATAACTTAACCATGGGTTACACCAATTACCATGTAACTTGAGCTGCCCATCATGAACTGGCTGTTGTCTGACCCGCCACGCCATAAAATTGGGCTTGCACAGCAGCACTCTGTCATCAAATGGGAGTGACATATACAAGATAGGGCTCAAGCAGACCATGAAGCACAAGTAAGTTACATGAAGGAGTGTCCCAAATGCCCATGGTTCCTACTTCTGCTACACTGACTTTTCTCTCCCTGCTTGCACCTATGGCCTCATGGAGAGTTCCCTTTGATCAGTTGACAGAGGAAGAGAAAACTTGGGCTTGGCTTACAGATGGTTCTGTGCAGTATGCAGGCACCACAGCCCTTTTCCGAGGTACCTGAAGGACACTCCCTTCTATAAATGACAGGGAGCTGTGCAAGTCTTTTAAGCAGGAGTGACTTTTAGACAGATCACACTGACTGCCATGGGAAGAACAGCCTGACTTATGATTTGGTTCAGACTTGGGATCAGGTTCCAGATCAGGGCCTAGTCTGGTCTTTGGGTCAGACTGGGATGTAGGAAAAGACCTAGTCTAGGTGTCTGTCAGGCTGGGGGACCCTGGGCAGGACCTGACCTGCTTGTGTGAGCTAGACTGGACACCCTGGGGTATGCCTGACTTGTGTGCCTGTTGTCAGGTTTGGGATCTTAGGCAGAGGCCTCTTCTGTGTTTGGGAATGATTAGACTCTAGAACTTAACCTGGTGCCTGGACTAGACTGGAAGCCTCAGGGCTAACCTGTATATTTGTCAGACTGAACTTCATGTCAAGTCTTAGGCTGTATTTGGGAGAGAATGGGTTCCAGGAAGGGGCCTGGCCTGTTTATTTGCTTCAGAGTGGGCAGATCATGGTTGTATGACTCACTCTTTATAACTCCTGGTGAAGCTCTGTACATCCAGATTTTTTTTTTTTCCTTTTTGTCTTTTTTCGTGTCCGGCAACGGATCGCAACCCTCAGTGTCGCGCCCATACCGGACCGGGACCGGCAACGGGATCACAACCCTCGGTGTTGCACCCGCACCTCGCTCAGCCAGTGAGCGGGAACCGGTCTGTATGTGGGATCCGAACCCTCGGCGGGAGCGCCACCGCGCTCCCAAGCGGCGCACTGTAGCAGTGTGCCACCAGGCCGGCCCTACATCCAGATTTTAATTGGGGCTTTCTCAGGAGTTGGGGGTGGGGGGGAAGGACAGAGCAAATAAACTAAGAAAGATAAATAGGTAAAAGAAATTTTATTATTGGGTGAAAACAGAAAGAACATTCTAAGAATTCAATAAGTAATAGTTGACCAATGATGGGCCTGCTCATAAACTGCTCGGGAAATTCCCTCCTCTCACCCTGGCAATTTCCTCTCCACTCTCACTGTCTGTAGCCTCTTTGGCTTCTCCCCAACCTCCTGCGCTTTCTTTCCACAGAGCATCTCTTCTGCACATTGCTGGATCTCCCTAATCCTCACCCCATAAATGACAGGATTCAAGGTTCCTGGGGGCAGCAAGTAGATGGCACTGAGAAGATTCTGGACATCTTGAGACACAGTCTTGGCCACTCGGAAGACGATGGAAGTAGAAAGACCAGAGAGGTAGATGGTAAGGATGACCAATAAGTGAGAGCCACATGTGTGCAAGGCCTTGGCTCGGGCTCCCCCAGAAAAGATCTGGAAGGCAGCACACAGGATGTGGGTGTAGGAGGTCCCCAGTAGGGCCAGATCAATGGTCACATTGACCAACCACATAGCCAGACCTAACCAGTTGTTGAAGGTCAGGTCTCCACAATCTATGCTCAGCAGTGCAATGTACTCCCAGGTGAAGTGTTGAATCACTGCTGTCCGGCAGAATTGAGCTTGTGCAGTTAGCACTACCAAGGGCACTATCACTCCCAGGATGCGTGTCAGGGCAAAAATGGCCAGCAGGCCCAGCAGGCAGGAGGTCATCAGGTCAGTATAGCAGAGTGGGTGGCAGATGGCCACATAGCGGTCCAGGGCCATTGCTAGCAGGAGGTTGTAGTCCAGAAGGAGGGTGAAGTAGCTAAAGAACATCTGGGCCAGGCAGCCATGCAGTGATATGGGGTTAGCATAATGCACGAAGCCCTCCAGCATTTTAGGCATCACAGCTGTGGCAGCACAAATGTTGACAGCCAGGAGGAGAGCAACGAGCATGTACATGGGCTGATGCAGATTCCGCTGGGCCACCACTGTGTGGATGACCAGGGCATTGGCCAAGGGGATGGTCACATAGAGGAAGGTAAGAGGCAGAACCAGGAGGGGCCGCCACTCGCAATCCAGGGAAACCCACCAGAAAGAAGTTGGTGTAGGAGATGTTGAAGGTGCTGGTATTTCTGTCCTCACCCATTAGCTTCGGCCTTGGACTGGCACCAGGAGTGGAGATCAAAGGCTGTTAGAACAAAATGGTCAATGTGAAAGAAAGCCTATTTGTATTTTAGGGACTGAGAAGTTTGTGATGAAAATTCACCTCTTCATGTATGTATGTCTGTTTCTTTGGGGCACAGACAGGTACTATGCCAGGTGTTGTGGAAGCTACAAAGATGAAAGACATTCCTTGTCTTCTGGGAGCTCTTGGCTTATATGTGTGAAATTTAAACTTACCTGATACTTGTTTATCTGTGCTGTCGCAGGTTCTTGATTGCTGAACAAAAGATTAGGAGAAAATGTCCAGGGGAAAAAAGAGTTTTGGTCAGAGGTGAAATAAAAAAGATTGAAGAAAAGAAACACTTGATTAGGAGGAAGAGAGAGTATATGAAGAATCTTTGATCCGAGGAGGCTGGAAAAGACCAGGTGGGGCTTATCAGGGAGAGAGGATCCAGCCAGGAGTGACAATCTCACTTATGAGCTTGGGGCACCTGTGGCAAGGACAGAGGAAAGTTGCTGAGGATGACTTCTGGTCTTCCTGGACCACAAGCAACAGGCTACAGAGACTGCTCCCTTCCTAAGCCCCTCTAGATTGGTTGTGCTGCCTCTCGCCTGGCCTTGTCCTCAGTGTCATATATGATGGCCTTGCTTTCCTTTCAAAATGTAAGTTTCAGGAGGGCAGGGGTGAAAGCTAACTTCTGGTGTGCTCACTGGAGCTCACAGAGCCACCGTAGATATGCAGGAGATGCTGGAGTATCTTGTTGAGTGAGTGAATGAGGAATAGGAAGAAGAATGGTAGGAGGCTGTATTAGTCCGTTTTGTGTTGCTATAGCAGGATACCTGGAAGTGGGTGACTTGTAAAGGAAAACGACATTTACTGCTTGCAGTTTCTGAGTCTGGCAAGTCCAAAATCCATCTGATGGTAGAGACAGTGACCCAGAGGTCTCAGGTCTCACACTGCAAGATGGTGGAAGCAGAGGAGAGGGGTGGGGTGGGGGTGGGGGT